TTATAGTGGACAATGCAATTCTTAAAAAATACTTTTTAAACTAGCAATATGCTTGACAGTAAAAAAGTTTAAATATGGAGGCTTGCAAGGTTAATTACAGTGGAAAACCTCATCATGGTAACCCACCCACAATAGTACACTGTTTTTCTGCTGAGGTTCAGTAAGTAAATACCCGCAGAATGGATGTAGTTTTTATCGATATATAGAACCTCTCTATCTTCAGTCATAAAAAATTTCCCAAATTCTCCTTAACAATAAATTTTATTGCAGTTATAACACGTTCTCCATTAGTATCCTATTTCTGATCGCGTTGTCCGCTACGGGAAAAGCTATTGGTTGTGTCTTTAAAAGACGCACCGCAACCCAAGTCCGTTAATATGGCTTTTCTCACCAGGTGGTGTCTTCGTGAAAACAGTGGGAACCATAATTTCCATAATAAATGTATCCATTTGGGAAGCGTAGAAAACACAGAATTATACGTTTTCTGAAATATTCAAAACGTCGGAATCCTAAAGATGGCTTTCTTTGAAGTACAACGTTCACCACCGGTGTTCTTACTCACAGTGTGAATATAATAGGTTAAATATTTGTGACTTTTTCACCGTGCTGTGAGGGAAGGTAGGCATCCAAAATAAATGAAGGATTACAGCCTATTTATTCAGTAATGTTATGAGTCCAATTTATATGAATGATTGAATGGCGCTAAACTAAACACTATCCTGCGACGTTATTTGCCTACGCCTGAAAGGCCATCCCATGCTGCGATACTCTCAAACCTTAAAACACATGTACGTACTTGGGCCTCATTAATAACTCCCTATGCTTACTCTACTTGAGTTAGAGATTTGAAGCCCAAGAACATCTGAACAAACATATTTGCTTAAATTTGCTCCACAGAAAACACCTCTGAGACTGGTCGATGAGTTGCTTTTCGAAGCTATCGGTGTAAGCTTATCCGCAAAGATTCAGTCGGACATATCCGCAACTTGTCAGCAGCAAAAACGCTTTTAATCTTTGAAGCTAGCTATTTACTTTGCTTCGTTTTAAGTCACAATAAGCTTTAAGAGCCAGGACAACGTAAACCTTGTGCCGGCAGGTACTACTTAACTTTTAAACATATATATATATATATCTTCACAAAAAATGTTAGTGTCCATTTGTTTTGTCCGCAGGTGACGTGGCTAGCTGCGTCCTAATGATAAAGACTCTTATGACACTGGCGGAGATTTGTATTGTGCATCACCGCTCGCGTTCGGGCATCATAGTGGCCCTGAAAGCCCTGCGATTTTTGGAGCGGAGACACGGTAAGTCCTGCCTGATGCATGCCACTGTGTGCAACGAAAAGAACGTGCTTTGCTTCATTTTTTTACGTTTCATAGAAAACGTAGGCTCCCCTACGAAGAGCAGCTTGGTGGACATATTCGGTCGTCAGCAAATGATATCATGTGAATTGCATTCTCTTCTGTGGACCCGTAGCTCAAAGTTTGGTAAGAGTAAAAAAGACTGCTACTCACTACTACGGCGTGATAAAAAATCACATGACGAGGCTTGGGGGCCGGTTCGTTTACCGACTGCACCAATGACTGGTATTTCTCTCTGGCAGTACTATGACAATTACGTTTTAGCAAGACGCGGAAAATGTCAGGTAGTGCTGCAAGACTTCTTTGTCGGCCCCATGGCCATAGTGCACAGTATCGCGAGTCCTGCATGTACAGTTCCTAAGTTTTTCAAAGTTTGACCATTACTCGCATGCCGGCGCGAACGGGTTTACGAAAAATTAGAAGTAATAATGAAAGGTATTAGACACATTAAGTAGTTAAATGAAGTATAACAAGTACCAAGTGCTTGCTAAGAAAACTAAAAATTTTTCGATAATACCCAATTGCTGGAGATGAAAAAATAGCCATAAATTAGAACAATGCATTTAAATTCTTTCTTAATTTGAAAACATAACGTAGCCACTTTCTTTATATAAAAAGAAGCTTTTTTTAGTAAACATGTTTTATACATATTACCATTAATGGATAACTATTTATTTAATATCGTCCTTTAAATTCTGGCATAATTTTCAGCGTTTGCAGGGTCTTAATGTGTGATTCCATCAGTTGAGCTTCCGTTCGACGTTAACATCGAACCCGTGTTGATATGGTGCCCGAGACCTATAAATACTGCGCTCCCTGAGTTTCCATTGCATGCATCTATAACTGTCTCAGATGATGTGTTGGAGTGTGAATCTGAACCCTGATGTTCTAGCGATAACATCTATTTCTTTTGGAATTTGAAAATTATTGTCCACTTCTCACTGTGCTGTAACTTTCTGAACAGGTTAACGCAGCAAGATTGTAAACAACTCCTTTTTGTTTTTTGCTTTCAGAGCAAACGGCCGGTAGCGGAAGATTAAGCGAACTTGGCATTAATCAGATCTTCGAAAGTCAACTTAATGGAGTTGCATGGCTTCGATGCCGTGCAGTCCTTGTCAAATGTCAGCTAGCGGACCTATCAAGTGTATACAATCTGAGATACCGAACAGGTAATGGACGGGTAAAGTCTTTGTCTGACATGTTCCTTTCTAAATGGTTCGATAACAACAAGCACTCAAACCCATTGATAAACGTTCACCCGACCGCTAACGGGACTCATCTGCCCCGCTCTGTCTTGGGCTCCGCCAGAGGTCCTGACAGTCGTAATAACTGGTAGTATAGACAGATAGTTTACCGTCAAAGAAAAAGGAGACTGGAATGGCCATTTCTGGCTGATTGGCCGTCGGCAGCCAGTCATACCCAGACCCAAGTGGCGTCACAAACGAGCCTCGAAATCGCGACCTCTTTGATCTGAGTCAAACATCTAACCATTGAGTTACGAGACATTTATTATTCAGATGAAGATCGCCGGCAAGGAGACCGGAGAATGGAGTGGCCACTTCTGGCGCATAGGTCGTCAGTAGCTAGCAAGACCATCTGAGACTTGAACGCGCGACCTGTTCCTCGGGGGTCCAATGCTCTATACATTGAGCTATGGGCTCGTTATCTTGCCGATTTAGATCGGGAATGTCGACACTCGTTTATGAATGTTCAGCGATCGCTAACAGAACTCACTCGTTCCGCTATGTATTAGGGCCCATTCGTAAGCCTTGCCAGCAGCTCCACAGTGGCTTGTATTTTAGGCAGATGAACTTTTATTAGTGTAGTATAACTTGAAGGGGTGGCACAGGAAGCCTGGCTTTTACCACAATGCTGGTAAACAGGGCCTGTTGCCTTAAGTGGATTCCATTTAAGCCAATGTATTGCGACTACGAGGCAATATATTTTTAAAATATGCTTTTGGACTCTTTGCATAGATAGTGTGTTCCAATGCCTACTGTGGACGACACCTTTAAGACATGAGGGTGAATTACTTCGTTAGTCAGTGGGAGTTTAATTCAGATTCCAGAATTGTTTAAGCGATCCAGTATTTGGTAAACAAAAAGTCCCTCATAAAGAGTTTATTTTTAGTTTATTGTTTACAGCTTATTTACCGTTGTAGTTTATTTTATTTTTCTGTTCAGCTTTAGATTCCCCTTAATCTACTTAGTTTAGTTTACTTTCGTTTAGTTAGTGTAATTAAGCTTTTAGTTCAGTTTTAGATTTAGGTTTATTAGCCACATGGGTTACTTTTGGAGTTGAAAGCATTAGTAATTGACTTAAGTGGGTTTCGGTTTATTTAAAGTATCGATCTATGAGTCCAGTTTTTAGTTTAGTTTTTTGTTCAGTATTATGTTTAATTAGTTTTAGGTTAGTTTTTGTTTCAGTTCGTTTAGCTTTATTTAGTTATTTGACTTTAGTTTTAGTTAGGTAGCTCTTAGCTAGTTTTTTTAGATTATTTTAGTTCAGCTTAAGTTTAGTTTAGAGTTTTAGTTTTTGAGTTATTAGTGACATGAACTTTTTTATTTATTACTTCACTTTACCTTGATCTCGAAAATTCGTTGCCCTATGCATTGTTCCGCACATGTGAGCAGTACCCCATATTAAGGCAGTTACATATTTATATATAGCGCGCTCTTCTGTTGCCAAACATTAGAATATTTAAACAATTATTCCTATTTTGTTTGCTAATATGTGATCTTTTTAAATTATTTTTCTTTCTCCTAATTTGCCCCACCCATTTAACCCTTATTGCCATTTATCCCGTAAAAGGCAGGATGTGGTTTTCGCGTACTATACTGAAAAATTAATTAAACCTCTACCCGCTAGTCAAATCAGTCATCATCATTTTCTATAAACCCAAGAAGATATCAAAATGATGAATGCGTCTTTTTCATGAACTTTGCAATGTTTTGTCTAGTATGTTAAATGATTGGTGCAGACATTTTTGAGAATCTTCGTTGCGTTGTGCTTAATGAGCTCATACTTTATAATGCAGACAACGTTTCGCTGAGTGTCCCAGAGGAACCCGATCTTCTCGAAAATATTCAGCGTGGACGGCAGGAGGCCGAGGCTCTGGGTCTTGAAAAATTCATTCGTATCTTTAAGTTATATGAAGAACTACATCGAAGCAGAATGCAAATGGAATCAATTGACTATTCACCTAAGGTATGTCTTATCCTGTTTCGCGCGCATATTCAAAGATACTAACAGTATCTGCATTTTTTATCACAGAAACCTCTGTAAAAATAATTTATGTTCTGACTATCAATAACGTACTTAGTTAACACATACTGCACCCTCTTGCATGCGTTGAAGACTCGGGTTGGGTAGTTTGTGCTCTTCAATTGTGTCCATTAAACAAGAGTTCCCAACCCAACTTCTGCGGTCTTCAGCAATTCTGTTTGCTTAATGTTAGATAGTGTTTGGAGTTTCTTGCAGCCTCTGACTATTTATCCAGTAGTAATGCCTACGTCAAATCCCAATGATAACAGCATGCCGTGCAGTACGGAACTATTAAACAAATAGCAAAGGATAAATGAGGTACAAACCTTAACAATATGTAAACGTAGTCAAGAACAAGGGAGTCGGCGAACAATCGTCTGACTCTAAATAAAGAAACGATGCCACACTGGTGCAGGGCGAAGCCAATCTTGCGGAGGCATGCGTTTAAGTGGGAATAGGGACGAACGCTGCTTTTATGTGACTTTGGAGTCAGTTATTGTGTTGCCTGCTTGATGTGAAAATTGCTCGTACGTGTGGCTTCGTAAACAAAAGCCCATAATACGTTGGCCGGGGCGAAGGGGGGGACGTGGTTTGTTCAAGTATACGCAGGGGGTTAAGTGAGTCAAACCCAGCAACTGCGATCTTCAGACCATGGTAACTTAGTGCAGAAGAGAAGTCGGTGAAGGCCGGAGTAGTAGGAAGAGTTTATTGTGTACACAAGGGAAAGGAGAATAGATGGAGAAAGTCTGACTTGAGGGGACACTTCCGCTCAGTAGACTGACCGGGTCCAAAGTGACTGCGCGAACTTAGCATGCGTCCAGTCTGTATCGTGTAATTTACACTGAGATTAAGTCATGACCCAGCTGCACATTGTAGCCTTGGTGTAGTGTCGTATACCATGTCTAAACTGTCCTGTAAATTACACGGGACAGACTGGACGCATGCTAGGTTCGCGCATGCATGAACGCAAGTCGGCTGTTCGACGGGGTGATGCATTATCGCAAGTGGCCGCCCACACCTACGAGACGGTTCACAAGTTCCACTTCGCATCTGCGAAGATAACTGCTCACGTAAGCAGCAAGACGGGCTGAGAACTG